TATGGAAATTTACAAAAATGCAGATATGCAGGTCCCAATTTTGAGCTGATTCAGTAGGTCTGGAATGAAAATGCATTTTTAACAAGTGGCTCAATAGTCCAGGGGCCACATTGTGTAAAACGTTCAGGTTTGCAGTTCTTAAGGTTTTTGAGTCTTAGTTAACCTCAGAAGGTTATTACTTCAATTTTTGATCCAGTTATAAAGTGACTTACTGAATTTCCCTAAAAGGATGTCGTAAAAAATGATTCTTGTGGAAAAGCAAGTAATTTTTACTGGTTACTCCTATGTGACTAATATTTTATGGTTTAAACTATTCCTTTAACAAATTTTTCTCCCCTATTAGGGCAATGTCCTCCAAATAGGAATAGTGGCACTAGTATAATTACGTTTTTGTATTACCTGGATCAATTGGATTGGGTAAGATTCTTCTTGTCCATAGAAAGGCACGTCTGCTCTAAGGATCAGCAGTGCAAGGTGGAGACCCTCTTGCCTGAAGTGATGCGCCAGTGCCGTCTTGACTTCTTGTTTCACGTGACTCATGCTCAGCTTGCTGTGTGGATAACCTGGAGTGTCCAACACCTGGACCTGCAGGGTTATCTCTTGCCCCGCTCGACGCATGAAGCTGTGGAGGTGACAACTTCGGCCCAAGCTGCAATCTGTGGTTACAGAACATGGAGCAAATCTGCTGTGGAAGTCAGTACTTCCCAGTAGAATGTTCCCAGCAGAACTTTTCCCACTCTGAGTCCTGCCAAAGAGTGCCAAGTTGATAATCATCTTGTTGCTGTCTGTCATCACTATGGGTAAGCAAAGGTATAGCATAAACTATTAATTTTCTGCATGCCCCAATGAAAAGCTTCTTACCTGACTTGGAGTATTCCATATGCAGTCATCCCTCAGTATCCGTGGAGGAATTGGTTCCAGGATCTCCATGCGGATACCAAAATCCATGGATGCTTAAGTCCCATACAAAATAGTATATTATTTGGTTTAATCCATGTACATCCTCCAGTATAATACTTTAAATGATCTCTAGATTACTTATAATGTATATTTCAATATAAGTGCTATGTAAATTATACTGTATTGCTTAGGGAATAATGGTGAGGGAACAAAAAAGCCTATCCATGAACAATACACACACAACTCCTTTTCTTATTATTTTCAATCCATGTTTAGTTGAATCCACAAATGCAGAACTCTCAGATATGGAGGCTGACTGTCTTACCTTTGGTTTACTTTTCCCTCCTTTATAGTGACTAAGGCACAAAAGAGAACTCCAGTAAATGAAGATGTGGTAAAGACAGAAGATTGAAATAACAGTGGTAGTTTACAGTGGGAGGACAGAGAAAAGCAGAATATAGATAAGGTAGGAGGAAGTAATAATTGCAGGAAATTGGTGGAGAGGGGTACCCAAACTTCATGAAGATAACATAAAACATATTTAGGAAGACCATGTTAATGCATTAGTGTAGGAGATTAGTTGTTTTAGGAATCGATATTCAGGTTTTTGAGCTCAGGAACAAAACCAGAAAAAGTATTTGAAAATTATTCACTATTGAAGAATTGAATAGTGGGAGAAAGAGACTTTTTTCTTTTTTAAATTTTGACAATATCGTTTACTTTCCTATCTTCCCACTCCCTGAATACATGTCATCTGTAAAAACTCATCTTTCCCTACTTCCTGAATGCTTGTCTCCTATGAAACATGAATAATGTCAAAGAAGATTCCTATTTCTGTTTACCAAGACTTTTTTTTTTTTACAACCAGGCTATATGCTGATGAAAATGAGAAGTATTTGTAATTTCTCTTCTGAAATTATTAGTAAATCATCCCTACCATAGGTCATTGCAAAGTGTTGACTTCTTGATAAAGTAAAGCTTGGCACATTTTTCAACTTAGCTAAGAGGGAGGAGAATATCAGGAAAACCTACTCTATTTACAAGGCACGAAATTGCAGTCAATCATTTGTACAGAGTATAAGCCCTTACAGAATTTTAAGTTCATCAATCATTTTCACTGACTGATGGATAAGCAAAGATACTGGCTAACTTGCCAAGTATGCTCAATCTTCTATTCAGAAGTAAAAGAAACTTTAGTATAGCATACTTATTATTTTTGCTTATAACTTTTCACTCTATTACACAGGTTTAAGTATTCCAGGCTCTTCTTGTTCTCTAATGCCCCCTTACTCTAATATCTCCAGATCTTAAAATAGACACCTTGAAGGAGACTCACAGTCCCACAAACAGTCACTTGTTTTTTGTGTATCCCTCAAGTTGACAGCAGCTCATGCAGTTAATTCATTTGTGTCAACTGCTCTGAGTTAGAGTTCATTTCTTTTTACTAATCAGTCAGATACATGATGTTTTTAAAAAATGACTAGGTAACCCAATCCATTTGCTGTGTAGCACTTACCTTTTTTGGTTTGAAAATGCTTTCTTCACAGACTCCCTGGAACTAGTGTAGTTTTTCTTTGGTATGAACTTTAATCTCCTGACAGTGTTATTGTACCAGCCAGAGACTGGTAGTATATTATTTAATTTAGTTAATCTATTACCAGACATCCTCTTTATAACTGATTGTCTTTATCTAATCAGCACTGACTTCTGTCTTACAATTTTAATAGATATTTTCTGAAACTTCTATTCCCAGGGTTCAATTCTTTGATTTAATATGTTTCTCATTATAATTACCTATAGCATAAAGAAATGCAAGATTGGTAAGTATTTAACATTCCATAGCATTGGCAACTTTTTTCCATTTTATATGATAAATAACCAATATCACTAATTCATGAAAACTTGCAATAAGCAGATACAAAATATATGCATGATAATTGGATACTGATTTCATAATAATATTTAGTTCATAAATTCAAAATTCTCTAAGAAAACTCTTTAAATTATTTCCATATAATTGAAACTTATTACCTTATCCTAATCAACAGAATCACTAGCATGATTATCTCAGTACATGTAATCTTTTATCAATTAATGATAATATGTTTAAGAAAAGGAATAAAATTAACTCTAACTTCTGGTCAAATAAATTTTTTTTTCTAAAAGATTTGTGTTTTGTTATTGATATTTCAAATTTGATTTTTGTTGCTTCTTAGTGTATATCCATAATTCCCAAAATAATTTCTTATGGTATGTAAGATGTACAAACTTAGCTTGATTAGAGTGGGGTTCATTTTCTTTTTTATCTCAAAAATTCTCTGAAGTATGTATATATGTGTGAAGAGAACTTGGAAACATCCCCAAGATCTTATGACTTCATGGACAGAGGGTCAAAAAGTCTTTCCTGGGTGAACATGACAAGGAAAATGAACGGGATTCATTCATCTGATGAGCACATTGACTTTCTTGAATGAAGCAGGAAAGAACCTCCCCCAGATGGCAGTAGCACCCTGTTTCCTAAAGAGTGATCTTAAACCAGAATTTATTTTATTTTTCTTTCTCAATTGTAAACTGACATTCTCTAACAGTCTACATCAACATGTCTTGTGTGTGTGTGTGAGGGGCATTTTCTGAAAAAGGGAAAAGCCCAGATTGCTCCTAGGTTCCTTATAGAACACAGCAAGCCTAGGAGAGTCTTAGTTTTTCATACTCTTCACTAAGTCCTAGTTAAGTCACTTGCTGAATGCAACAGTTGTTTAAAAAAGTTAAATTCAGAATTTAAAAACATGGTTCATAAATGTCAATGAGACTGCAAAATTTTTAGGTAACTTTTCATAGCACTAATGGCAGTTTTAGATTTGAGTCAACGTCAAGGTTTATACAAGGGAAATTTATTAATGTTAAATGATAGTGAAGGATTGGATATGAATACTTTTTGAATTATAGGGTGAAAGAACAATTTGAAAATGTCCTTTTCACTGATTGGGCTAAATATGATGTAGTAGAGCTAATACATTAATTCCTAAGAATTCCTCTTTGGAAATAAACTATCTTGGAGAAAATAATTAGCTAGCTGTTTGAGGCCAAAAAAAAAAAAAAAAAAGATCCTGGGAATGTGCTTTAAACTCACAACAAAGTAATAGTCAATCTGCTGGTGATGGGGAAAGAGCCATAAAAAGAGTAAAAAATATCAGGGTATAAAAAGAGGGAGAGGGGCAGGGAGAGACAGAGGGACGGAGGAGGAAGAAAATATGAACTACAAAAATACAGCCTGGCAGGATTTTTCAATTGGGGAAATAAAGTGGTAAGGGACTGTTTTAGAGCAGAAATAGGTACAGCTCAGTTTTCAATTCTTCACATCATACATAAAAATCATCCACATTCACAGTTTCCTTGTTTGAAGATGACTTTTTATTTTCGTAACAAAAAAGTTTGTCCCTGTATTATCACGGGACAAGAACCACACAAATTGGAGATTGTGGGGTGGCATCTGAAATGAAGTAATTCAGAAGAGGCAAGAGATTGAAGCTGGCAGGACTTTCATCCCCAGGAACTGGCTGGAATCCTTGAGGGGACTTTAGACTTTCACAGTCCTTGAAATGAGACATTTGGGAGAGTAAGGCTGAATCTTGCTGATAAATAACTATTATATTTTAAATATATGTGCATGTGTATATAGATGTGTGTGTATACACACATATTTATATGTATATAAACAATTTATAATATATGTCTCTATACCCAGTAAAATCATATCTTTCTAACCAAATGAGTTTTATTATGAATAGTCCTTTTTTTTTTAAAAAAAAAGTATTTGTTTTAATTAGTTATACATGACAATAGAATGCATTTATGCACTTTGGTACAGCATACATAGATGGGATATAATTTCTCATTTTTCTGAGTGTACATGTTGCAGAATCATATTGGTCATGCAGTCACATGTATACATAAAATAATAATGTCTGTTTCATTCTACTATCTCTCCTATCTCCACATCCCCTCCTTTACCCTTCCATCACTTCTCTCTACCTAATCTAAGGTAATGCTATTCTTCCATAGTGCCCCCCACCTTATTGTGAATTAGCATCTGCATATTAGAGAAAACATTCGGCCTTTAGTTTTGTGGGATTGGCTTATTTCACCTAGCATGATATTCTCCAACCCATCCGTTTACTGGTAAATGCCATAATTTCACTCTTTTTTAAAGCTGACTAATATTCCATTGAATATATATGCCACATTTTCTTTATCCATTCATCTATTTGAGGAACACCTAGGTTGGTTCCATAGTTTAGCTACTGTGAATTGCACTGCTATAAACATTGATGTGGCTGCATCTCTATAGTATGCTGATTTTAAGTCCTTTGGATATAAACCAAGGAGTGAGATATCTGGATCAAATGGTGGTTCCATTCCCAGTTTTCTGAGGAATCTCCATACTGCTTTCCATAGTGATTGTACCAATTTGCAGTCCCACCAGCAATGTATGAGTATGCCTTTTTCACCACATCCTCACCAACATTTTTTGTTGCTTGTATTCTTAATGATTGCCATTCTGACAGGAGTGAGATGAAACCTTAGAGTAGTTTTGATTTGCATTTTTTCTAATTGCTAGAGATGTTGAACACTTTCTCATATATTTGTTGATCAATTGTATTTCTTCTTCTGTGAAGTGTCTCTTCAGTTCCTTAGTCCATTTATTGATTGGGTTATTTTGGGGGGTTAGGTTTTTTGAGTTCTTTATATATCCTAGAGATTAATGTTTATTATGAATAGTTCTTGACATTTCAATTAAATGAATTCCAATTTTCATTGGTTTGAATTTTGAACACCTTGTTCTAATATTCAGTTTCTTTTTCATAATAAAGACTAATATTACTCAGAAGACT